ACCGATGTATATAGTCAGTGCTGCTAATCTCCCAGACAAGTCTGGTACCACCATGCCGACTCCGGAGGAATGGAAGGCTTGATGAGCCTCGGGAGCGGTATTTTGTATTGCAGGGCGCCTCAAACCACACGCGGTGGTTTTCTTAATAAACGAACAATACAGTATAATCAATCCTAAGAAATCAGTTCTAACTAATTAACGTTTTTAGAATGCTCAACCAAACTGAAAGTCCTAACTTCGATTTGTTGCCTATTCTTTCTTTACGGCAGGGGACGATGTAAGCTTCAACCACAAGATTGTTGAGATGTGAGCAAAACCGAGAACCGCAGTTGGACTTCGAACCAGCGATTGCTCCTACCGGGAGATTGCGTGCTGTTCACCGCACCAACCGAGGTCCTTCCATTGATCTCCTCTCAGCTATTTTTTTACCCAATCGATGCTATCTGCCGCCACTTCTCAACGGAAATGATCTGGGGAGCGTAAGCGGAAGTGGTTAGTGGCGGGTATTTGCACTGACCAGAAATGTATATACACTTTCTACGTCGTTAAAGCTTGAGGCTTTTATTTGCAGCTATTGCTTGACATTGTTAGCTCTTCTCTCGAGTCGTTTATCGAACGTCGCGCCTTGTATTCCTTGGAACAGGACTTCTGACAAATTCTGGTCCCTCCAACAAGTTACTTCTCTGAGGCAGGTGATGCCCAGGATTTTTGCACATTCTACTCAGAGATTCTTCCCTTTCTGATTGATATCGAGACACATAGGATAACCATTTTTCGATAATTCAGAGGCACTGACCCGTTCTCAGCTTGCTTGTGCTTCGCCCATGCTTTTGAGATTTACATTAAGGCATGGAGAAAGGAAAAGTTGAAGATTTAGGATCGATCCCAGATGCGCCATCTTTACCACCTTCTTAGTGTTCCCACAAAAATTTTAAGCAAACCGTTTATTTCCAGCTACCTTTAGAACTAAGTCCTCACCACATTGGTGTTCTCTGCACACTGCGCATAGTCTGGTTGTTCTAATTTCCGTCCGTTCGCCAGAATATTGCTCTTTCACAGCAACGTTTCATTATTCGTTGCTATCAGCTAACAATTTAGTGTTATACGAACAGTGCTGTTAGCGAAGTGAAGACAATATAATTCTCGACCACCGCCCTTCATTTCTTGGTTGTTCCATCTTTCTGTGATTTTGTAAAGCTCTCAAAAGCTTGGACAAGGTGGTATCGTCTCATCGAGCTCATTCTATTCACATAGGTAGAGAACTAAGTTGTTCGATTGTGCCATGAAGTTCTATCCTCAACTAAATGAATAAGGCTAAATCCACCGAAACGTCAACTTGTTCGTAAATAAAGAACGAAATAACACCTTGTGTTTGCTCAAGAAGAATATAAAGAATTAAATGAATAACCATCTCTTAGTCGATGAGAAGAAATGAAGGATTCATACAAGATGCTCTAAAACATTTTAAAACCCTCAACCGTCAACTTATATGCGAAACTACAAAGGTCTGCAGATAATCGAGGTTGGGAAAAGCGTGCATAACGCACAACTACACGGTCCAATGACAAGACAAGGATTACCACACTGCGACGCCTAGACAGGACCGTTACTATTTTCAGAAAAGCGATACAGAGGGTTATCCAACACTTCCACTTAACCTCCTCGGCAGAGTCGTCTACTCACCTTCATATTTATCACGCATTTCTTCCCAAGTCCTTTGTTATTCTTTCTATAGATCATCCTGCCATAATAGGAACCGAATGCCTAGTGAATTAAGCGCTATCTTCATCACAACGCAAAATTGGAGCTTTACACCCTACATTCGAATTGAAGTTCACCTAAACAATAAAAACCAGCAAGACCTATTGTGAAAGAACAGGAACAGAGACAGCACATACAGTTAACCCACCTGTTGTAGTTCGCCTAAAAGCTACTTATTCGAACCTCCTTCAATAGTTTTAACTCTTTCATTTACTGCCTTTTTCTTCTTAATGGCAGGTTATGTTGTGAAATATAACTCGTATGAAATGCTGATATATTTGCAAAACTCCGGACCACAGGTGTATGCAATGAAGAACGAACACGCGCTGTTGTCCTTACCGGGGAGCAGCGCACTTCACCACTACACCATCCGGGCCCTTCGCTTTGCGTGTATCTCAGCTAGTTCTATCGATCTTTTTTGCCATCAGCAATCGTCCGTCAACGGAGTTGATCTGGGGAGCCAATATCGGCATTGAACCCAGTTAAGCTGAGGCTTAGTTATAATCACAATCTTAACTCTTTTATTTACTGCCTTTTTCTTCTTAATCGATATGTCGATAATAATCGATATCGAATCGATCAATAGAACTAGCTGAGATACACGCAAAGCGAAGGACCCGGATGGTGTAGTGGTGAAGTGCGCTACGCCCCGGTAAAGACAATAGCGCGTGTTCGTTCTCCATTGCATACACCTGTGGTCCGGAGTTTTGCAAATATCTCAGCATTTCATGCGAGTTATACTCCTTCAATAGTATTCACAAAACACTGAAAGAAAAACGACTACACGATCAGAGTTCCGAAGAGTGTTTAGCACGACGGACGATACTCACACAAGGATGAAATTTGTTGAATTGTGTCCTAGCACAAGATTATCTCTTTTCTCCATTTTAGCCCTCCTAAGAAAACCTTTAACTCTGTTGCGATAAAAGCGGGCACGGAAGATAGCTATGATATCGGAATATCCAGGGCTACCTCTTAGTAGTCAGAAATGGCTCATGAGCAATAGAGAAAAGCGATACCACATAACAAAATTATTTGACGCCCTTCTCAAGACAATGTGAAGACTGAGAAAGGGATACGTGAGAATGGAAGTTAGTGAGTATTTTCGCTTTGCTGATGGTACTGTTCCTATAAGATCAAGAGTTAACCTAACGTAAGGAGTGATAACCGATTATGAAATTGTTGCAGAATGATAACAGTTCTGTTGAACTACCTGGAAGCGATGTTACACACACGTCTAACAGAACGCACCTGTAAAAGCTGCAGTAATGTGTATCTGGGGGTGGAACAGAACGTTCTGAACAACTCAACATCAGAAAAAGAGTTGAGCAGCAGGAAGACGTGGTGAAATTAGGCTTCAGCGGTATAGTGATATACAGCGGGTTTCCTATCGAGATTTTGAGCAGTTCTGTTTTCTCCAAGGTGTAAACCAAGTATTCGTTGCGACGTCATTTAACATGGTCGAGGCTCTGGCTCGACCACCCCAGAGCCCAACCAGGCCCTCATACCCCCGAGGTCGGGAAACTGATACCAAACATGAGCTAGCTTACATAATTTCTTAACAGCTGTTTACTGCTTGTGATGAAGAACTGGGGATGCGATAGCACGGCTTCTCCGGGAATCTTGTGAAAACTGATTCGATCAGCATTCAAAGACACTTTGGAGGACCAAAAATCCCAAAGAAACAGAACCCAAATGTAAACCCAAATGTTCTCGTGAATGACGGATGCGAGCGAACGAATCAAATGCAAGAACTACCGGGATCCACACAGTGTATGATTTCGGGTCATACAAAGTAAAGTGAAAACTATCCACTCCATCACGATGTATGCTTGGAAAAACTGAAAGCTCTGCAAGATGAAAGATCGGTCAGAGCTTTAAAACTTAGTAGGCTAGCCTGTTACTAGGAGCATGCTTAGTGCTGTAAGTGAGCGACATCAGAAATTCCTAGTTACGTTGACAATCAGAGATCATAGACACTTTAGCGCACGAAAATAGGAAGACGAATAGGTGGCTCCGACACGTCCCAAATGTTTTCGTAGCAGCCGTGAGTAAGTAGGTGCTCCGCAGTTTTCATCGTACAAGAAGATGACCACCGTCATGATGGCCAGACATCTTCTCAAGGATTCTGGAGGAAAAATTTGATGCTCTTCACGATCCTCTGGCCAGCAGGATCCACTAGGCATCTCTGGCATACGACCCATTGAACTTAGTCCACGATCAGAGGAAGAATAGATGGTATAACGTGAAACGTTTAGGTAAAATGCGACCTTACAGTCTGTTTGAAGGCGCTGACCTTTCTCCCATATCCAATCTGTAAACAATCCTGCATGCACCCATTCACTTAGCTGTAAATCCAAACGTTCTGGTTTCGATTAACGACTTAAAATATCACGACTGGGTGAAATCTAATGTCAACGTCTTCCAGATTAACAAAAACCACCCAATCCCATCTGCCTTTATGACATGTCGAAAGGAAGTTAAAACACTTGTTTTCACTTCAAACTGGAAATGACACTAAGGAACGAACTAATGGAAGCTAGCGTTTTACAGGCTGGAAAGCATATAAACAAATGCGTCCTAAAACAATGCAATGCACAGAAAACTACGATCAACATTCAGGTAAACGAGAATCCAGAAAACACTCATTACTTAGAGGAAACAAACAACCGAAGTCCGACAACGTCTGGCTTCGAGTGGCAACGATGGTTGCACAGGTCTGACCGCATGCTGTTATATTGCTCTTGTTGAGAATCCTATGTTATTCGGATTTGGTTAAAAGCAAACAAAAGCTTCTCCGATTTCCTGTGGTCTTAAACGCTCATGATAACATCACATCCGTCAAATATCAACCACATCCACCTCTCCACACTCAAAATCCTCCACACGTCAGGTAGCCAGCGGTGAGTGATTTCGCAATAGGTCGCACCGCGACGAGCCTGCGCAAGCATACTGTCAGTCGCGTGCAACCATCGTTGCCATTTGACGTCAGACGTCGTCGGATTTCCGCTGTCTCCGCTAAGTGCTGGGTGTCTTCTGGATTCTCGCTTGCCAGAGTGTTCTTAATAGTTTTCTTCCGAGTTTTGATTTCGTTGCTGGACAATTAACCGTTCCATGTTTTGTTCTGGAATGCATTTGGTTATATGTCGTGTGTGCTGTAAAATATTAGCATTCATTGGTTCCTTGCTTAATTTCGTTTCCAGCCCGATGTAACGGAAGTGTTTTAACTTTGTCTCGACATGTCATTGAAGACAAAGTGGGATGAAGTGGTGATTCTTGTTAATCAGGAAGACGTTAGCACCAGATTTCATCTGGTCGTGATATTTTAAATCGCTAATCGAACCCAGAATTTCTGGATTTGCAGCTAAGTCAATAAGTGCATACAGAATTGTTTACAGATTGGAGACGAGATGTCGGCTAGGAGGAAAAGGGCAGCCAAGTACCCTAATTGGACTCGTGTCACTACCGTCGTGACGCCAGTAGGTCAGGTTTGTTGGTTCATAGCTACTGAATATGACTAATAGATGGGAAATCTCTAACACTCTCTTTTCTATCCCATGGTTTGCCTCCATAGGCGATTCAACAAGTGGCATGAAGTATTATTCCTCTGCCAAAATTCACGTGAATAGAATCAAATGTGACCACATAAGGTGTAGGTGGTTCTGACGACGGTGTAGCCCATCGGTGTCGGTTTTCGCTGAGAACTGTATTTCGAATATTAGACCACTTCATTAAGCAGGATTCCGTCCATTAGAACATGATGATTTTCCCGAATACTTCTTTAGTGCTTGCGGATGCCTGACTTCCGTTAGGAATTTTGTCTTGATGATTTTAGTTCCAGACAGATTCGAAAATCACATAACATTCTTGAAAAGTATTAATAGGTAGTAAATAAAACGGTTAAAATTGTGATTATAACTTTAAAAAAAGCCTCAGCTTAACTGGGTTCATTATCGATTTGGACTCCCCAGATCAATGCCGCTGACGGGTGATTGCTGATGGCAGAGATCGATACAACTAGCTGAGAGACAGGCGAAACGAAGGACCCGCATGGGGTACTGGTGAACGCGTTTCTCCCCGGAAAGGACAATAGCGCGTTCGTTCCCCACCGCAGACACCTGCGGTCCAGAGTTTTGCAAATATCTCAGCATCATTGACAGTATTATTTACTCTTAAATAGATGAAGAAAGCCTACTGTATAAGTCTGTGAAGTCCGAACTGCTGAAGTGCTGTAATTACCAAGAAATTATTGGCAGTTGTTAAAAAACCACCTTTCTTTTTCCATCCCTTCGGCATGTCATTTTGGTATTTACCGTTGTCTTCATTCATGTTTATTTGCTTAATTGCCATAAAAGGATAGAGGGTAGAGCTCTCGGCGTTCATCAATCCCGGAAGGATGCGTTATTCATTCGACTTCATTAAGCATCGTTGGAGGTGATTGAATGCATGTCTGGCCTTTACAATAACTCACGGTGGCCAACCGATGTATCGAGCCAGTGTTGCTATCCTCCCGGACAAGTCTGGTACCAACTTGCCGACCCAGGGGTATGGAAGCCTTAGTCAACCACGGGTACTAGGGTCGATCCCATGTGTGTATCGCAGGGCGCCTCTGACCACTGTGCCACGTGCGCCCTTAGTTGCCATTTTATTACTTTATTCGCTTAAAGTTTATTGTATTTTGGGAGTACTATGGAATTTAGAGGATACTCATTATAAACATGTTATTATGTGATTTAAATGCAAACTCAGTGCTTGTCTTCGTCCTTAAAATGAATGGAGGTTTAATGACATTATACTTCCACGTGATTTCTGTGCGGTTGGTCTCTACGTGACATACTTAGTGGAGACCTCATAGAAAGCGGCTCTGAAGAAGGCGAAATTCGCCGAAACGTCAGCTTAATCGTGAACAAAGAATAATAACACCTCGCGTTTGCTCAAAAAAATACGAACAAAATCACTTGATCAGTGCCGAGGTTAATAGAAAGTCGGTCGTGGCAGTTACTGAATGGAGGTTGTTTTGTTCTCTACTAAACCTTTTGAAGTAAATGAGCGGAGAAGTTGCAGATTCTCCGACAGGTGGTACTTCGGCCAAGGTGTCTCGCTGCTTCGTCGGAGATCCGTTTGATCAGTTTGTGCCATTTTACTTCTCGTTTAAGATTTCTCAGTGATGTTTGATTTTCTGGCCAATGTAGCTTCAATACATCTAAAAGCTTCGTGTTACATTTTTTTGTGAAGCACGGAAAAATGTATTCTGTCAGCTGTGTTCTGGACGGAATCCAATATTTTAAGATATCTCGATAGCTTGGGGCTCGTGAAGAAGGCGATGCCAAACAATGGTGGGAGCAGTATCTATCGAGCGGTTTGTGAGTCGGTTCGTCCTTGTTAATTAATTATTATTATTAATTATTGTTAGTTAATCGGTATACTTTACAGAATTCTCTTTTACTGCTGTCACCTTCTGTCATCCAAGGTAACTTGTTTTTGATAAATTGATTTTTTCCAGCTAAGTATGGATCAAAGCGAACACACTTCTTTGCAAGAATTTGTCGAAAGTGAAATTCTGTTCCAATATCGACTGCAGCGCATTCGTACTGGACTACCAACTGTGAATAAGACCGAGGACACGTTAAGAACAATTGCACGGCTGTTGAGGTTGGTTCCCAATCTGTGCTTTTTCAGTCTTCCCCTACCGTTAATCTGCAAAGGCTGAAGCACCGAGTGTTTTATTAGCAGGGCGGACAAGACGTTCCCAAATTGGAACCACATTCGCGTTCATTTTGCTACTGTATAGAAGTAAATAGAACAACACTATAGTTACTCAGCTTGATCAAGCCGATAAATTCCTGGCGAAATGTAAAACTGCCATATGATGTTATCGTTTAGTATGATTGTAAAGATGTTTAATAACATACCAACAAAACCTAACAGTTTATGGATGGAGTGTTGGCCACGCATTTTCCTTAGTAAAACAGGCACAGTAGCATACAGAAGAGTAATTATTTAATGTTAAATTGCAGAAAATGTGTTTGTTAAGGATCGAGCTGCATGTTTATCGTGCCATCGGCGAACAACCTTTTGTCTACGATGGGAATCCCGACGTTGGTGAATCTGTGGAAAAGGTGTGTGAATTTCGAAAAAGATTGCAGTGGCGATGCTGTTATGATGTGTTGAAGCGTGCAAATGGGACATGTGTAACACATTATTTTTCTTTTTCGTGTACGGGATATCTTCGATTTGGCGAAACAGGGAATTATTTATTTGGAGTTAATATAGGTGGTGGTATGCGAATCTCACCGTGGTCATTACGATTTGGTTCTTACTCGAAAAGATCACGCTTGCCTTGGATACGCACAAAGTGAGTCCGTATTTTGATCCGACATATTCATTATTAAACTTATATGGCGGTGCTTTCCTTATGGATTTCTACGCAGTAAATGCACGTGCGATTCTTCTTACTTTTTCAGCTTTTGTTTATGACCTACTCTACTTCAACGTTTTTGGATTCTCGCGTGATGTTATTAAGAATTGCATCAAGCGAATAAGAGACGATATGAGTAAGGGAAACCATCCTGTAGATGAAGTCGGTATGAATGTTGCAAATCAACCAACCACCTCCACGCAAGAAAGGACATGTGGAGATGGAGAGCTCTCGTTAAATAGTGATGGTTTAGAAGTAAGTTGTTCAGTCATATTTATCATCAATTCATTAGTGTTTCATCTGCTCTCTTTCAGACGCGGTTTGGATGGCGTCCTCCAATGCCGTACTGTGCTGTTAAATCTCTTGACCCGTCTGTTTATCGCAATATCTCCTATGATATTTTCTTGAGGGAGCGGAAACGTATACTTAAGGGGTCTAGCAGCGGTATTTATTTATATACTTCCATCATTCTAGTACACGTCGAAAATGAATATCTATAAGTTTTGGTAAAGTGGATTGTTGAGCCGATATTCAGTAGTTCTGAAAGGAAAACTGTCCTAGTATACTGAGGCTCATCGATGAACTAAACTGGTAATTATTAATTACATCTTCGAACCGAGATGAATAGTAAGGGCAAATTTTCTGCTCGGTACTAGTCATCGATTCGCATAATCATGCGAGCAAACGGGCAATTTTTGTCTCATTGTATTGCTTAGCGATTTTGAAAGACTTTTATTTTTGTGGAAATTGAATAGCTCTATCCCATATTAGGACATACAACGTTTAAAACTTGTGTTTGTGAATACATGAGATTATCTTCTTAATAACCCGTGTCAGAACTTGAGCACTAGTGATTGGCAGCTTGCGTGAAGATATAGCAACTGCAGAGCAGTGCAGGAGTCCAACGTACTTTATGTGACACTGTTTAGGTCCGCTTCACGTCGGCAATCGATGCGTTTTGATGGAAAGCGCCTCCGCGGCCACTGTGAGTGTTTAGTTCATACTTCATTTGTAAATTTTGCGTAGTTTTACGTGTCACAGGGAAATATGAGGGAAATGATTTTTTAAATGACTTACGATTTAACTCTTTAGATACTTAATTCATTTTTTTAGTCATTGTATTTTGAATTTTTTAAATAATGTGAACTTTGTCTTGTTATTCTATAGTTAATTTGGTTTAGTTTTTCTTCGTACTTTTGTGTCCAATCGGCCCAAGTATTCTTTCCTTTATGTTCTCAGGTGTTCCCTGTTTACTCCTCTGCCGTAAACCCCAATCAGTTACTCTATCTGGGTTAGTCCATTGTGCAACTGTTTTCATAATCCTTCGAAAGTCGTTGCATTGTGTTTCTAAGTATCTTAAATCTTTCGAGCATTTGTATACATATACAAGATACATCTTCGGTTGTCAATCCTTTTTAGCAAATGTTCTACGTCAGGAATATGAAGCAGCTCATAGCCATCGCTGTAACTCGGCAATAGGAAATTACTTGAGTGTCTTCCCGAATTAATTTAATTGAAAATTAATTAATTAAAAAAATTATTGAGGGTTTTGAAACAGATCAATAATATTGTATCATCATTGGTGTTGTGTTGTATTATATCATTAGTACTGTAACCTCGAATATGCCACTAATTAGTGAACACATCTCTCATTCTTCATAAGACTACGTTTGCAACGTTGGCAACTCTTCGACTAGTTTTTTTTTTCCTTTTTTTTCCTGATTTCTAACCTATCATAATATTTCACATGAAATTCATCGCTGTTTTTTTCTTTTTACTTACTTATTATGAAACGTAATTTTCCTCGAACAACGTTTAAGAAACATCATTTCTTCATCCCACTTCACTGTAGTTGTAGATCGTACAGAAGTTAGTGTTAGTTTTGTATTTCCAAACAATGTCTTAAATAAAGTTTTTGCCTTTTGGTTCATTTTGCATACATTTTTAGAGTACACATTTAGATTTAGGGTTTTATATTAATTTATCTCCACTTTTCTAATCTGTGCTCAAATATTCATTGGGTACTTGAACGAGCCGTCATCATGAGTTGTGCGGATCCAGCACATTCTCCATTTGTTTCTTTTTCTTGTAATCGTCTTCCATGGTGGTGGTTTCATTCGAGCATGGTGCAGGGGTGCCAGTCGTATACCCCATCCGTAGAACAAATGCAGCTGCGAGTACAGCTGATCGGTTTTGGTTGCGAACAAGTCCTTGCGTTGTTTGGGTGGTTTTCCAAGAGAACAGTTACATTTCTCTGGCGTCCATTTCATAATTTTTTTTCATCCATCAGTGATTGGTCCGTATATTTGTATGACCAATCCATCCATGTTTCTCCATCGATGTGTGTTCTGCTGAGTCATAGAGATTAGATAGACGTCGGAGGTCACAGAGCATTCAGGCTAAGTGTGGTGTTTAACGGTTGTATTTAAAAAGACATTGTTAAAGCGCTGTGTTAGTAGGGTGCAGTGGCCACGTCCTGCATAAAGGAGGGCTGGGAAGACCGTCGAATCGAAAAGGTGATCGTGGGTTTTCGGGTCTTTAATTAGTTGGTGGCTTCTCTGAGAGACCTGAAAGCGGCCCGAGCTGCTCTCCTTCTGTCTAGCAGCTCCTTCATGTTATTTTCCATGCTCATTTGGTCGCCGAGGGTATACGTACGAAGTGTTCTGTGCAATCAGATAGCCATCAAGTTCAATTTTGCCTTCGCACCATGGCTCTCTCATGAACTAGGTCTTCCGATTTATGTGTAGTCCGATTTTTTTTCCGTTTCGTTGAGCTCGTTGATCATCGCCTCTGCTTCCGTGGTACTTCTTGGGAAGGTAACGACGTCGGCGGCAGAACAAAAATTTAGTAGCGATTTTTCATCAGTGGGTATATCGTTCTCATCCCAATCGGGTGATTTTATTATCCACTGCCTTGCGGCACCAGACATTTTTAGCGATGTAGTGTCGCCTTACGGAGCCACTTTTCCACGAGTAAAGTAAGAGGGCGATGGAAAAAGCTGTATTTTCATAACTGAGGTAACCATTCATAATGAACATCATTCATAGCTGGCAATCCAACTTCCATTGTTCAAGTAATGGAGATACCAAATGGCAATAGATAGACGTTCTTTTTTTAAACATTGACCAAGCTTTTCTTCTTGACAAACCAAGTCAAAGTCACAACTGGTTAAACACACTTGCAATCCCAAACGATCTCGACACTTTATTACGAGTTGTTAGTGCGTATAGGGCATGGAAGACTAGTCGTCAATAGCCACAATTAATTTACAACAGAAGAACATTCATATCTTTTGCGTATATTTCAACTCTTAGTTATGGCGTTCGATCTGACTAAGATGATCTTCTACACGAGCAAGATGATCGTTGATGCTAGTTAGTAATGCTCTCAAATCTTTGAACTGCAAGTGAAGCCATAAATGCAGTGTGCCGTGGTCTTCGCTAGTAGGAGATATAGGCTCACAGTTAGGATAATAAGATTCTGTGACGTCATTATCAGACTCCTCAGTACTGCTTGAGTTTCGGTAGACAGGAGATGTGGAAGGCGGTAATTGGCAGTAACAACAAGATACGCAACAGTCCTTAGGCATCCGTTAGTGTGAGCGATTACCTCAAAAAGTTGGCTTTCTTCCTGATCAGTAGACAAACACGAGACAAGTACTCAATATCGATAAATATACAGTGAGAGAATCTAGCGATTACGTGAAAAAGTTGACATTCTTCACAATCAAGAGACAAGTACAACATCAAGATTGATAAATATACAGTGACAGCACTGAGGATGAGGTCTGAAGTCAACAATCATCTTTAGGAAGAGAGAAGAACAGCTGCATCAAGTAAAACAGCAACGCTACACTGTAATGACGGTGGACAGGGCAGTGACATTCCCATGTATTAGAACTCCACACATCGTTCACAGTGGGCGGATTACACCGAGCGCCACGTCGGCATACTGGGTGATGAAAAGGTACCCAAGAGAATAGAGACGTGATTGTTAACGATAGAAGTGGCGACAGAAGAATGTAAACTAGTGTGCCTGATTAAGCCAAAGCCGCACAGGCAAAACAACGAATCGAGAGTAATCATTGTGCTCCTCGCACTTCAAGTTGCTTATGACATAACTTGGGCAATTTTATAAAGAACTCAAAGGTCGGCGACATTTTGGAACAGTATGTTTTACAAGCAATGCGCCTAGCAGTTAGGACTCAACGTCATTACTAAGGATTACATAAGGAAGTGGAGTATTCTTACAGGTAAAGATTGGCCTCTATTATTTTCCTCTGTGATAAAACATGAGCAATCTATGAGCTTCTGAATTCTTCATTGGAGCCTTCGATAATCCTGAACTTCGGTAATTCTTAATGAACATCATAATGCGGCTATTATTTTATTCCTTTATTTTTTTCGTTGCTGTTGAAAACCGGCGCAATGTAGTGTGCTTCCCCGAATTTCGCCATGGCTCTTACACCCTTCCTGTTGGAATGCCTGTTCTCAGACAAGGAGCGACTAAAGGGCCCGTGTTCTTGTACAATGTGGGAGATCTACATTACACTACCAACTGTCGCACGTTATGCCGGCTGTCTCCTTTCTACAAGCTCTACCCGGCTCATCCTTAAAAGGACTATGAGAAGAGCGGACAGAAGATAGACGTGCGAGTAATATAGCTTAGATAGAAGTTCAGCAGTGCGCGCATCTGATGAGGCTAAGTGATGTATCGCGAGAGAACGAGGCACTGTTGAGTCCTATTTTCAGCAAATTGAAGAAAACTATTTAATTTGTAGATTTATAAGCGAAGCGGTCGTGAAAGCTTTCGAGTAGCCATCACCGCTAACATTACACTTTCTCCTACCGCAGATCTTTTTCTTTACAGTCAAAAACGTCCGAAGCCGAAGATTAAAACTTCGTATGGGTGTTTCCAGCGACACACAAATTGACAAATACTTTGACGTTCCCAACACTTTTGTTAAAAAAGTTTTACATTACCTTTTCTGAAATATCGACTATATCTTAATGTGTTCTATTCTATGATATAAAATTTTGCGATATGCGAGCAGTTGTTCTATGACTCACCTATTAGAGAGGATGCGAAGCCCTTGATGGAAATTCGCTATATTTGTAGTTCATTTACTATAACGGTCAGTTTGATAGATAGGACGGATCCAGTCGTTGATCGACAAACACTGAAAGCGCTGTCAATCGCTTTTCGTAAACAACACGGGTAGCACAAGGTGCAGGTGAAACTCCCGCAAGAGTTCTATGACCCGTAAAACCGTTTGTACGTGGTCAATGCAGCAGAATCTGTCTCCAAATCTTGCTTGCTCAACTGGTTATGCCTCATCCAGTCTCCTTGATATATGATGTAGGATAACCTTCGTTAATAGCTTGTAGAGCTTCCTCAACAAACGTATAATACGATAATTACGAAGGTTCTTTTGGTTAGAGCTCCTAGGGAAGATGGTAGTGGAGCGACGTCTTCAACTGTCCCAAAATGTTCCTCATTTTGTAGAAGACGTGGGCTACGAGATTTTATGCATTCTATGGCTTCTAGCTCGACGAACAACACTTCTAGCATAATCAGGCTATGGATCTCTGCCATTCCTCATGTTTTTTGATCCTTACTCGAATTTGAGAGAAAAGCATCTTATTTACAAGGGTTTAACAAAACGCGTTTAAAGAATTTTAACATTTCCTGATTGGTTTACCGTTAAACTATAACAAATGAAAGAGTCTTTCTAGGTGTCCATCTGCAATGTTCAGCAAGAGTTCATTCCTAAACAAGATCTCTGAGAACGAAGAACTTCGACGTTGCTATCTGGAATAAGATCGAGCGAGAACCAACGCCATATGATCATCTTTCTAAAAACAGTAAAGAAAACCATCGTATCAGGAAGTGCGACGCTCTAGGTGTACCTCGTGTAACTCGGGATCGCTGCAGGAGTAAATAACGTTTACAACCGTTTGCTTCAGTTCTTACATGATTAGTAATAATAAAGAAGGA